TCTGCCTGCCCTCTTCTTCACACATCTTAACACTGTCACCGTGGCAATTCACGCTGTATATTTACCACAATAAAATATTATGCATGTGCTTGTCCACAAAGTACACATAATGGCTGAATAAAAATATTAGGTGAAAAAAAGAAACAAACACCAAAAGGCATTAACGCAGAACTTCAGACACACCATTAAAAAAAAACATCTAAACTTCTACACACACTCACACTCAAAGATATGTGTGCCCCACAGTGTACACACTGTAAGCAAGCTGGTCCTCTAATCTGTGGCTTGCTTGGGGCTTCTTCCAAAGTCCCTGGACCTAAAAAGGCCTAGCCTGACAGGGCTGGAAGAGGTAACACCCTACACTTAGCCACATGGAGCTAACTTGCCCACACCCAGCTAAACACAGCCAGATGTGCAGTGCCTGGTAGTGTGGTACACTGTCACTGCTTACAAGGATATGAACTTATGTATGAAAACAGGGAATTGTCTCAGTTCAGCTGCCAAATCACTGCAATCGTGTGGCGGCAAATGCAAAGCGTTGATGTCCGATCAAGCCCCACTCTAATGCTCAGCCAGTATCTTTGAACGACACGGTCAACAACAGATGGTTTGTGGGCCTCGTCTAATAAGGGGTCAGATAATGGGACACAAGGAATGGAGAAAAAGAGTAGAAACTGATTATCTTTGGAGCCGAGTTGACAGCCTGTACAGGTGTGGCTGGATTTGAGTTCAACAACAACGAAGCTGAGAGCAATACGTCAGAGTGCAGCCAGGAGTAATGGAGTACAGGAACAAAAACAAGCTCCAGATGACTGTGAGGCAACACAAGTGACTGTGTACACGCCGTGTGTGTGTGTGTTTATCTACGTGTTTTTATTTGCACATCATTAGAATGTTTAAAGGTCGCAGCTGAGTGCTGCTTATTATGTCTGTCTGTAGTCTGTGTTGTTTACCCGCTGAGCGATTGTAAATGAGGTGTTTCCTAGAAAAATGGGAAAAGTTCAAAGAATGACAAACTATCTCGGAGCGACCTCTTTGTCCATCTTGGACAGGTTCGTGTGGCCTGTGTGTCCGTAGGCATGTGTGCGCGCGAGTGTGTGTTTGTCTGTTTTGGCATGGTGCGTGTATTCCTCTGTCATGGCAGTAACTGCACCCTGGGAAACAGGAGAGACAACGTGGAAGAAGAAAACAGTGCGAGTGGAGAAAAGTAAGCAAATAGCTCTGGGCCTCTGAGGTCAGGGGGATTAGTGTCATTTGGAAAGGTCAGTGCGTCGGCCAAGATTATTTCTGGTCACCAAAGGGCCAAAGCAAATGAGTGGTGAAGAGACATGTGTCTAATAACAGGAGCAGGTCAGTGAACATGAATTATTGTAAGAAGAAAGGGGGGAAAAAAACGTGGGTCTTTTATTGTACGATCGCAGTGGCTCATGGTTGGACTCACTGTAACACAAAGGCAGATCTCCTGCTCTCTGATCCTCAGTGTCTACTGCACTGTCAAACACTTACTGTCAAACGCCTTGAACTGTCCACTGAGGGACATATGTAGGGTACGTCCGGCATCTTTGAGAATGTCCTCCATCTCTCTACGGCTGAGCATGGCCAAGTTGTCCTCCATGTCACTGGTGCAGCAGGTGTAACCTTGTGGACACATGCGCAGGTGCTCTCCTAGGAGAACATAAGGACAGAATAATTGTTAAGAAGGAACTGAATCTGAGGAAAGACAGAGAGGCAACAAAATAGGGAGACAAGGAAATCAAACCCAGTACTGTTCACAGTCTCTCCCTTTTTGTACTGTGAATATAAGTAACTCTTTATTTTTAGGTACAAAATGTTCCACTAAGAGCGGGGGCCTCACACCTTGATATAAGCAGTTGTCTGTCATACAGTCAAAGGTGCGTGTGTTTCTTTACCTGACTGCCTCAGCACATTAAAACATGATCAATGCCAAAGCTCCTCCGAGAGAGACGGAGCCGGAGTACAGCATCAGCTCCCATCCATTTTAATGATTCACTTCAATGAGCAAGCTGAAGGTGCAGTTGCTGTGAATGTGCATACTCACACACACACAGGCGGGCAGAGGATCCTGTTGATGCATCTGCTCCTCTGTCAGTCACCAAAACTAAATCCTAAACTAAAGTTTTTTTTTTCAATAAAGTAAAGTTCAGTGCGTCTTCAGATTTTTAATAATAATGATGATAATTATTATTATTATTATTATAGGACAGATATGAAGATGAAGATTGTTCTTGTCTCTAAATTCCTGTCATGAGAGATGGAACTCACTATAATAACATTCTCTATCCAACTTTATTTACTCTTAGTTCTGAAGTGTTGATAGTTAGAAATAACGATGCTATTGTTAATGAATAAAGAGGTTTTTCCATTTGTCTTAAAACTTTTCTATGTGGACAACTTTTTAGTCTCTGCCTGACTGGGACAGCAGACCACTGATCTTCTATTGACCAGGCAACACTACTTATTTGCTGTCCTACGTGTTAGCACGTGTTATGATTTACCACAAATAAAAAAGATTGACATCTGACGACGTGTAGATGATGGTGAGAAAGTAAACTCCAGTGAAAAAACTTTGATTAAACCAGCAGCTCTGATGTTATTTGTTATTTGTTTCTGTTGTTGTTATGAGTTCACCGGCTTCAAAATGACAAGCATTATTATTCAGCCTCAGTGTGATTTCAACCTCCGACTTCAGCCCCCCCCCCCCATGCCGGAGGGTTGTCTGAATCCACTTTATTGCCTTAAGCAGTTTGTTTCAAAAAATAACACATATGCCCTTAAACAAATGCATAAGTTTCCCAGACATATATAACTTGGCTCTTAATGAAAAAAACCTTGTGCTAGGGAAGAACAAATGTCCTAGTTTTCAAAACCAAAATGAATGTACCGACACACAATTAGGTAATAGTACTGCAGCATATTAATGTACACGGGGTTCATCAACAAAGCCGTCTTCCACGTATAGCGCCAGGTGACGGTGTCAAGAAATAATGTTTGTTTCGTGAACAGCTGCGTTGCAGCCCAATCCTTTCAGTCTCAATCGCCCTGACATTGAGCTCATCAATGAGCTGCTTAAAACGCCTGCATAAAGGCAGTTATGAATGCAGAAAACAGGCAGCACTGCAGGACTGTGGAATTAAAGATTTACTGTCTCTCCATCTCCTATTAGCATGCAGCGGGCAGAACATCACCTGAGGGTGAGTCTATAGGCCCAGAGCTGCCATCAATACCATTGATCCTGCCAAGCGTTTCATCATCACTGCTACTGATTCTGTGTTCAGTGACTACACGCAGGCCTTTCACCTTCATTTACTGTAGTTGTTACCTGAGTTAATCAACCGTCTCGCAATCCTGCACGTGATCTGAGGTGTATTTTACAGTCCGCAGGACGGGAATCGATGCATTCCACCGATTTTGTGTCAAAAAGTTAAAGAGCAATTAAGGACTTTCTTTTCTCCCTCCGTTAGCGTCGGAGTAACGAAGAGGTTGTTGAGCTAAAAAAAAAATTTGAATTATTTCAAAACACACAATAATTGTTCATAGAATTCACACACATTTGTATTACTGCACAGAGGAGAGCATCCAGGTATAATACTGTATGTAATTGTACAGTAGAGCTGTGCTGCAGTCTGCCATCCCACTGGACAACAGTGACACACACACACACACACACTAACACACTTTAATGTGTGTGACAAGCTGACATATTTCAGTGTGCAGTGGCATCTGAGCACTGGGTTCACACAGGGATTCAGTCAAATCATTGCTGTGCAGCAGGACAGGTCACCTGCAACAGAGCTTTCTATTTCCAGCTGGCTGAATGGAAGGAAGTGTGTGTGTGTATATACATAAGTCTGTTTTTGCTTTGTTTTTCTCTCACATTAACAGTCTAATGTTAGAGTTCAACACTTTGCGGTGCTCATAATACCCAAGTATTTTCAGGACTAGGAAGTAATTAGGAAACATGTTTTCATTACAGACCGCAGGGCCTCGTCCGAGACCCACTTTAATAATTAACCATTTTCCCATCTGCCTTTTGCCATTTCCTGGTGGAGTTTTGACACTCTAAATAAACTTAATTGAACATTAAAATATAAAATGATAAAAAGAAATACTAAAAAACAAAATTAATATTTGGGGCCTTCACTTCCTCCACTGCACAGTTAAAATTGGCTGCAGAAGAAAAAAAAGACATAAATTGTTGGAGTATGGTTTTAAGCAACAAGTTCAACAGTCATCTGGGCACTCATAGTCAGCAATTTAACACTGTAGCCATCCATTATTGTCTTTCCACATACATAGCTGCTAAACGGTGGGTAATTCTCTAACTATTAGCTTATCGCTACCCACCAGGGAGGAAGAATTCTAATAAAAAACATCCATGTGTGGGAAGGAAGCGACCGTCTCGGAGAGAGGGTGGGAAACACAGAGAGAGGGAGAGGGGAGGTCAACAGGAAATTAAGACAGAAGAAAAGCCAAAGTCTGTTATTTCTGTGGGAGTTTCTGAACAATGCTGAAGAACTTACTGTCATGCTCCTGTCCAGTAAGTCTGTCAAGGATAAGTAAACCCTCTGTCACTATAAAGATAGTGAAAATAACCTTTAGCTGCTTTTCATAGTGTATCGTTCCAAATGTTATTTTCCCAAAGATAAAGGTAAATCAGAGACAGATGTAGAGAGTATCATGTTTTTATTACCTTGTTATTAAAAGTTGTGTTAAATCTTGACATCTATCCTGTTAGGATTGATAAAATCCAACTTCCTGCAGAGTTAACACAGCTAACACGCAGGGTTATTCCAATCGAAACAAAGCACAGAACTAGTCATTAGTAGGTAACATAGTGGGAGATGGAGAGAATAACCAGCAAACTGTAGATTTGCTGTGCTAACTGCTGACTTAACAAACGATTCCTTTCACAATATCAAGAGTTCAGTAGTTGACGGGTCAACAGTGTTTTGTGCCTCCATCTTTTAGGTGGAGGATGTGCAGTATTTCAGGATATTGCCATCAAGAAAGTCAGACAATTCACACAGTGTCTTTTGTGTTAAACTTGGAGTCCATTAGGCTCGCTCCAATTTCAGCTTCTCAAGCACTGATTCTCTGTCCATGACAATACCACTACCTCCTGATCGGTCTTAGCATACTTCCTGGTAGGCTTCATCATCATCACACTCTCCTCCTTTTTCATTTGTGCTGCAAATGAAACCTAACCCTGGTTCTGACAGCAATTTATTCTTTAACCCTTCTTGTGAACTGCATGCAGTGAACAAACACTGTCAGGAAGTGTGTTTGTGTGTGTGTGTGTGCATAGCCTGGCAGATTAATGATGTCACAGAGGAAAACATGCATGAAAAATCAGGAATCACAAACATGTGCACTCACCCTCACTCAAACTTTAATGATGGATTAGGGCAGAAGAGTTGAAAAACATCAGCGCAACATGTCTGTACTCAGTGGATTTACATAAAGGCCAGACAAATGCATAGTTCTAAACAAGCTAATACACTAGCCTGTGATTATGAGCTGCCCCTCAGCATGACTGTCATACTTTCAGTATCTGTTGGCACTTGTATTTACACAGGCAAAGCCAAGCACAGGGAACCTTGGGTTTTAGATTGTGTAAATATTACTGTACTCCCACTGAATTCCATACACGCATACTTTAAAAATACGTTAAAATCGCTATTTACAAACACACATTACACTCAAGGTGAAACTGGTTGAATATAAATTCCTCACTGATGTCTGAGTTGCAGCAATCACGTTAATGAAAACTTGTGTAAGATATGCATTTAACAATTTCGTTTTTTTTTTTTTTCAAATTGTGAGAGAAATGTTTCCTGACACCATGGATTATGTAAACTTTAGATAAAGTAAAGATTTATACGAAACATACAAAATATAATAATATATAAACACAAATATGGATATATGTAGAAATATGACATGTATGTCCATATCAGAGAGACCTGGATAACCTTTATATATGTTCAAATATATGTCATTATTTACATATGACATATATATAAGTAATGACATATATATGTTCAAATATATATGACATATATATCCATATCAGACCAGACTTTCACATCATCACTAAAAGAGATTCTCATTCACTCACATGCACAACTGCGCATTACTGCAGATCCTCCCTCTCTCATCATCTCTAACTACACTCTTATTACCTTATTTCACCTCAGGTTCAAGCTGCTACAATAGCTCCTTTGCCCAGTCATTCTAAAAGGTCAATGCTACGATAATCAGGACAAAGATGTCTGAGTTCCACTTATCCTGCTCAGGGAGCTGGTTGAATGTCAGTCTGCCCTGACACACCGTACATGACTGACACACAACGACACCTGTACATTTTCCACTGAAACAGGATGTAACAGAAGTCCTCTCATGAAACCCCTCTGCATGATAGCTACCTCAAAAGACCCAACATTGAAGTAGAGTCCATACAGTTATTATAGATTATGCCTTTTTTGCTTGCTTAACAGATAAACAAGTACAAAGCAGCAATACTGTCATTGTTTACAGATCAAATCAGATTAGCGAAGACGTTTTGGAATTTCACAAGAGCAGGAACCAATCGGAGAAAGAAAGGAGGTCACTCTGCATCTTTATTTCATACCTCATTTGTCGAC